TACAAACCAACTACAAAATTATGCTTTTCATTTCCAGTTTATTGACACTCTACCAGTCACACGAACCCACCACAACGGCCTGGACTGGCATTCTTCACTATAGATTATTGCATATTTTTTGTACAACAGCAAGGTTTACGTCACATGCACCCAAAAAAAAAAAAAGGAAAATATTTGTGAAAGGGCAGCCAGAGTGTAGAAGGAAACGATCATTTCGAAGAAACTTCAGAAGCACAACTAGTAACAGGCAAATCAGATGGAGTGCATACCAGAGCTCTTTGCTGTAAATGTCTCAAGCTTTGTTCCATGCTAACCTGTACCATCTCGGCCAGCATCTTCTTTGCTTTATTGGATTGATCATCTCCATCAATCTGAGAGATTATGTTGCAGACTATATTCTCAAGGGTGTCAGGTTGGAGCTCAGATCTTGGATATGGAGTTTCCCTCAATAACCGCAAGAGAGTTTGTGCTTTTGACTGGGACTTGGGTGTTCCTTGAACTGTTAGCTCAAGCAGTCCGGGAATTACCCCTTCTCTTAGAATTGGTTCTCTGTATTTACATCGGTCACTCTGGCACATTGTCAGAAGTGCCCCAACTGCATGCTCCCTACTTTGGAGAGAGCCATTCTCGAGCACTTCAACTACTGCAAGCACTCCACCTTCTTCAGATGTCAATGCAATTCTTCCCTCAGCAAAGCCCACTAAAGATTCTATCAGGGAACAGCATTTTTCAGCTGTTTTTCAAGATTTTTTACATGTTTTCAATAAATCAATTATAGAAGGGATTGGGTTTGTCTCAAGAATGATGTTAAGATTATTTGGGTGTGTTGAGAGATTTGAAAGAGCCAGTATTGCATCAGCCTTGGCTTGAGTACTCCCACATCTAACAATATCCACAAGAAGAGGGATGGCTCCAGAAGTACCTATAATTGGCTTGTTGCTAGCAGAAGCTGACAAAGTCAGCAAAGATGCCGTCGCATACTCTTGCAGGTTTAAGCTCTCCATCTGAAGGAAGCTAATAACTGGTTCTAAGGCACCTGCTTCCACAATGCTGATCTTATTCCTGCAATTTGACAATGAGATACATCAGAGAAATCTTAATATGTATCAAACACCAAAACAATGGGATACTTGTGCAGGATCTGCCTAGAAAGGCATAATATTCTAACAGTGCTGACACTGACTGAACCAGTCATCTCAAAGATCATGTAACCTTACAGCAGAGCTGAAACTCTAATCAAATTGGTATAATTTCCAGGACTAATAGAACACAGTCATGCTAGGCAACTCTGGTTTCTCAGCTAAAGCAACATTTTAACTTTACTCTTCTGAAAGTTTCTGAGGATATATACACAATTGATGTCTCTAAACAAAGTTGATTTAACACTAAATAGCTGCTAGATCTCCATTACAAAATAAGTCATCCCATTCGTTTGTCACTTAGTTCAATCAAAACAGGACTTTCTTAACTTCATTTCTCCTTTCTTTAATGGTACAAAGGTAAGTATCATTTATAAGAAAAAAAGGGAAGAAAATTCAATTTATATGAAAAAGAAGGTATCATTTGTTACCAACAAAAGCCTAGTTGAATTAGTCCCCACTAACTTCAAAAGATCACAATAACTTACTTTTGATAGAATATATATATATATATAGAGAGAGAGAGAGAGAGTATATTTGCTCTTCAAGTAACATATCCATTATGACAACAACCCAATCAAGATCACTTGAAATGGAAGCTAATAGAAAGCAAAAGCTAAAAGAAAAAAAGAACCATACGTGAAACACAGAACAACAACAACTCCCCTATTTTATTCTTTAATCTAACAGTCCACAACCATAAAGCTTCCACTTCTACCAACAAGGGCCTGGCAGACTTGATATCCCCTAACTTAAAAACCTTAATTTGAACTCAAGGTCAGAGGTTAAAACTTCTGTGCATGTACCAAAATAATAATAATAATAATAATAATAATAATAAAGCTTCCACTTCTTTATAATGGTTTTATGAACAACCCAAAACCACCCAACACTTTAATCCAGAAAAGGAAATGCAAAAGAAGAAGAATCATTTTGGGAGGAAAAAAAAAAGAGAGAGAGAGAGAGAGAGAAAATCTCAACCTGATTGAATACCTAATCCATTTCCCCCTTAACTACCTGAAAATGGGAAATAGTTCCAAATATTTGGCATAGTAAACTTATGGAAAAACAGTTCCGAATTGACAAAATGAAAAATTTTCAATCCACAAATTTTCTCACCAACCAATCAGCAATCATTCTTGACAGAAAAGAAAGACTAAATATTAAAAGGGGAACAAATAACAAAATCTTCCCCTCTGTCGAACTGTATTAATTTTCCCTTTTTTCCTTTTTTGGGACCGAGTTTCCCCTTTTCTCCTCGAATACCTGAATCCAATGAAGAGGAATACCTTCTTCTTCTCTTTGAAACTATTAAAATAATTAAACGAAAAAGTAATATAGTAATATATTAAAAAATAAAAAGCAACCACAAAGGCATAAACCATTAAACCCAGAACATAACTGTTTTCCAAAGAATCGATTCCCATAAACTTGAATTTCAGGTAAATTTACAAATATTAAAAAAAAATCGTAATATTCAATTAGTTCCGATTCCTAAATTTTCAATTTAATTATTGGAAATTTAAATGAATCCCCTGTAAATTCAACTAAAATTTAAAAGCAATAAATTAGAAAAAATTAGTAGTACTAATTTTTCTAAAAAAAACAAAATGCTCGTTCAGTTAATAGAAGCAGTAATTGATTAGAAAGCATACTTTTCGTCTTTAACGGCGAGATTGAGGTGCGCGAGGAGAGCAGACTCGTGATGCGACCCGGGCGAGTCAGGTTGGAGCATCGAAACGAGCGGCTTGATGGCGTTGGCCAGCATCCGCCGACACCTCTGCGAGGTTTTGGTGAGGCGACGGATATCCTTGGCGGCTTGAAGCTTGGAATCAGGGTCGTCCGATTGAATTAGCTGCAGGGCCCGATGGACTGCCGACGTGGCCCCTCGCGGGGTGTCGGTGCCGTCTGGATTCGTGTCGGCCGACCAAGAAGACAACGATGAAAAAGAGGAAGAAGAAGAAAAGGAAGAAGAAGAAGAAAAAGGGGCATGGTAGTCGGCGGCGAAGTCCATCGAGTTTGGGAAGGAAGAAGAGTGGGTGGTTGTGAAGGGGAGATCAAAAAATCAGGGGGCAAATGTAAGAGAAATATATGGTGGATATTTTGGAGGTGACGTTAAGCAACAGTTTAAACTTTAGGGACACTTTAGGGACATGCAACTGCTGATCTGCCAAATATAAAACCCCTTGCTTGTTTGGTTTCTTTCCTTTTCATTTATTACTAAAATACTAGTATTATTTTTTTTTTTTCCTTTATGAGGGAGATATTAATAAATTACTTATTTCATTTAATTTTAATTGTTGTTTAGTTTGATTTTTTTTACACTTATAATATTAATTTCAAACAAAAATTTTAAATTTTAAATTTCTTTTTCTACATATAATTTTTATTAAATAGTTTCTTTTGATTAATTTTTTTTTGAAATATCATTAATATACTAAGATCTCTCATTTTATTTTAATTGATGTTTAGTTTTAAAAGAATATTATTTATCAATCCAATTGGTAAATTTTTAGAAATTTCATCAAACAATATGTTTTCTTATAAGCTCATATATATCTCATACTAAAAAAACACACACACTAAAATAACGAAAACATCCTTTTATAAACAATCTAAGCATTCAAAACCATTGACAAAAACATCTTTCTCTAAGCAACTTCAGCATCCAAAATAATATTATTTAAAAGAATGTAATGTTTTGTAATTTGAATCACAAAACATCTAGTCACTGAATAGAGGAGTCTTCTCCCCATATTTTGTATTTGAAATGTAAGACTTAAAATGATTTTAAAAGTTGACACTATTCTCCTTTTTTTTTTTTAATCTTAATTGGCCTATTACATCTTTATTTGAATTTGAACTAAAAAAGCATCCAACAAGACTAAATTTTTAATAATAATGCTTTTATTAGTCAGGGAAAAAAAAATAGAACAAAAATGGACCAAAAGATTTGTGCTAGCTAACCCTAGCATGGACGGCCAAAAAGTTAGCCATAGCACATAGGCTTTTAAGCATCAATATGCATTTATTCCTATGATATATGCCATAAGATATTTCAACTTAATCAATTCTCCTTTTGGATTCTCTTAACCAAACGTTTTACAATTAATTATTAGCAACAAAAATCTATCTGCGAGCCTAATAACTAAAACAAAATAAAAATAATCAATAATTTAAATAATTTGATGATTATTTTTTTATTAAAAATAAAAAATTTTAAGTTTAAATTATATAATATATGAGTTGAATAAAATAAAAAATATGAGATAATTATATTTTATTATACAAATTAAGATAAAAAAACAAAAAAACAAAAACCAAAAGAGAGACATGCATTGTTGTCGAGTCTTCACTGTTAGATAGCAAAAAAATAAATAATTAAAATAAAATAAATAAAGAAGTCTTCTTTTTCTTTGTCACCGTGAATAAGTGGCCCTTTTTTTTTTCTTGGAAAATGGGAAAGTTGATTGATACCACTTGTATTGTATTTTATTCGTTGGGAGGTTGGGTTTTTTGATTTGCTTTTTCAACGGAACCCATGATATTGGCAGTTGGAGATGGTTTTTGGTGGTTCGGTAAATGCCTCAGATTGGTCTATATTTTAGTCGTCCCTAACTTTTTATACCTGTTTTGATTGGGTCCTGAGTTTTTTATTTTGATATTTTTATCCCTGTGTATCAATGACAAAAGATTGAATAACAAGAAGCCCAATTCACTATTATAAATAAATATTAAATACAATATATTTAAACCGTAAAAAAATAATTAATAGGTGAAATGAGGCCAATGCCAAATGTTAGGAACTAATTATCCGCTCTTGTCATTGATGCACTAATTAATATAGGTGTTTGCATTATAAACATTAGTAGTTTAACTACCAATTAGTACTAGATCCTACCTCTATCTAATTTTAGTTTTCATTTAATTTTTTGAGAAGTCATGATAAGATCATTTTTTATAAAATTTTTAATCTCGACATGAATGTTCAATTTTTTTATCAAATTTAAGAAAAATTAATTTTAAAGTATATCAAGTTATCTTTAAAAACACTTTGACTGCTTACTAAATAAAAAAATTTTCTATGGCACACCATATAAAAGAAATTTTTAATAAGTACTAAAAAATGCAATGATTAGTTTTTAATTAAAATTTCATTCTCAACCCCTCTATTGGTAATAAAAAAAATAAAAAAATTATTAAAACATTTGAAAGGGTTCAATTTGAATAGAACATATAATGCAATTTTAAAAAATTAAAAATGCACACACTTTTTTATAATAAGTATGACAATTAAAAATAGTCTATCTAATGTCAATTGCATGTAAAAACAAATTCAAAAAGAGCCTTAATGGGTACTAGTCTTTGCTTTTTCTTTTTGTAAGAACATAATGATACCACTTTCAGTCCTAGTGGTGTGTTTCATTTTGGAGGGACGAGTCACAGAGCTGATGTGATGATAAAAATCATCATCCACGTGCAAAAGCTTTCACTTTTCAAGGTTTCTACCCAATTACACATGCCTAAAATGTTGATTTATCACTTTATTTATTTATTTATTTTTTAAACACAAGTCAATTTTATAGATTAAATGTGTTACTTAAATTTTGAAGTCAATGTTTAAGAATAAATTTTAAAATGTACTGATATAAAAATGTTGTTTTAAGGTAATTTGAAAAGCAATTATTTTTAAAATATACAAAACTTAATTGAAAAACATCATAACAATAAATACTTAAAAAACGCACACACAAATCATCTTCTTAGTTTAAATTTCAGAGAGAGTATGGTATGGCAAAATATTTGTATATATATATTTCTAATTGGATATAAACTTGTGAGAATTCGCAGTTAGTGGTGTCTCACAATAGTTAATTTGGTAATTGTTTTCCTGGCATAGATCAAGTTGGATTTTTCTATTCACTGCTTAATGGTTTCAAATTAAAAATATTTATGTAATTTTGATAGTAGATACTAGATAGTTTCTAAAATATGTTGGTTTTTAGTTGAATATAGTCTTTATTAAAACTAAATTCAATCATTCTAGGATGAGAGAGTAAGCCAATTAATTAAGCTCAAAGTTACCAATTGGCTAATGTGAAGTGTTCTATTGGTATTGGAGGACTGAAGTGTAAGGTAGGATATTCTTGTTTCAAATATGAAATATCACCATTAATTAACTTGTAATTTGTTTTATTATTCATTAACTCTCTGAGATGATGTCTTCAGCCATTAAATATACCTTCTTTAACATTTTTAAAAGGTAAATCGAATACTAGTAGTAAATATTATTAATTTCTCTTCTTTTAATTTTTATTTGGTGTAAAGTCAATAAAAATCTCCAAACTTGTCATAAATGCTCATTGTCGTCCCTTGACTTAAAAAATATTCCTAATAATCCTTGAATTTTGGAAAATGAACTATACTCCTTCACTTTACAGCTATTAACAAAAATGTTGTTGTGGCACTAACAGTGTTAACATTTATTCATGTTAATTGTGAGATTTTATTTTAGATAAAATTGTGTATATCATTTTGATTAATAGACAATCATGAAATAAAAATATTGCATATGTTTCGGCTTTATATTTCTTTTGGTATGTTGGATGATATCTATAGAATTGGAGACAGTTTTTTCTTTTTCAAATTCATCCCCACTCATTTTAGAATTTTAATTTAAAAACTCTAACATGAAATTCAAATTTTTAACAATTAAAACATATCAAGAGAAATTTTCAATTTTATGTAATTCTAAAAGTTTGTTTAAGTCAACTTTTCCGAAAAGTTGTATTATTGTCTACGTCCATGTAGGCACATTGAACACTTCAGTAATGGTCCCAAGCAGATTAGTACATCATGAATATCCCAGCTTTGTAGGTGAACCACATTCTATACTTTAACTATTGTTTCTAGACCACATGCTAAAAAAAGCTTTATTAAATTAAAGGGTGGTCGGCAAAACTTAGAAGATATTTACTTTAAAAAATAAATTCTTCCCTCATTTTTTTATTTTTGATAAAATGCGAAATTTATTTATTAAATAATACTTTTATACAAGCTAGTAGCCATATGTAAGTTGCTACATAGGAATACAATTTGGCAGCTAGTCTATTAAAAAGAAAAAGCTCTACTTCTCTCAAATTTGAAATTTTGTTAGAGGAAAAATTACTTTTAAAGCAGGTTTTAAATAAGGTTTAAAAAAACTTGATACATATTTTTTTTTTCAAAATTTACTTAAAATCACTGAAAAACCTAATTTTTGAATTCCTTTAAACAAAAATTTTAATTTGTAAGGGAGGAATTTACTTTTAAAGCAAGTATTTTTTTAAGGTTTGACAAACACCCTCCTAGTACTTTTTATCTACAAAACATAGTATTGATGATGATGAGATTGAGGAAATTTAAGATATCCTAGTGATTAAAGTGCTAGATATAATAATAAAAAAAATTAAAAAACTCTTAATGAATTAACTCATAAAGAAGATTCATTAAAGATATTTAAACAATATTACAAAATATTTTAACATATAAAATGTTAAACTATCATGATTTTCCTTTTGTTGATGATGATATATATAGTAGAAAGAATGTATGTGTTGGGGGATTGGATTACATATTATGATAGTAATCACATTAACATTTAAAATGTTATTTCTAAAAACATTGAGTCACATGATTGGGAAAATGGTTGATCAATTGATGGCACATTCTCTTTCCAGTATCTACTTTTTGCACCATGTGACTTTGTTCTTAGAGTACAAGTTCTTTTTTTTTTTTTTTTTTTTTAAAGCCTTAAATTTATTTACAAAAAGAGGTAAAATAAAGTGGATAAATTCCTTTCTTTAGCGACAAGTCATTTCCTAGCAAGGTTCATCTTTTACAAAAGTAAATTAACCTTTCTTTGTGGATTATCATCTCTTTTTTGCTTTTTTTAGTTTTTGAGTTGATTCCCTTTTGTCATGTTTGTTGCTTAATCATAACAAAAGAAATAAATAATTGATTTGTTTCTTACACAAGTAAATATCAAATCAAAAAGTATATTAGTTACTCCTTCTATTTATTTTTAATAAAATTAGTTTTTTATTTAATAAAATAGAAATATAATAATTTATTGATAAAGTTTTATATTTATCTTTAATTATATACTAGTCAAATAAGATTTTTTATTTAATATATATTGTAATTATCTTTTTAAAATAAGAGTAATATAGGAACAAACTCATTAAATGATATTTTTTAAAAAATAAACAATTAAATTTGAATTCCTCAAATAAAAAATTAAATATATTAAAAATGAACTAATGAAGTATATAAAATTCAGGCTCAGCTTAGCTTATGAACGTCTTTTTCTTAAATAAATAAATATAAAAAATTAAGGACATGGTGCATGGGAAAAGAAGTAAAAAAAATCATAGAATACCAACATATTATAGGGCTGATCCTGAAAGGCCCAAAATCAATTGAGCCCCGTTCATGCCTGGAAATTGGATCTAGTTCAAGTCCAAAGTCAGAACGACATTTGCAGAAAAATAATTTTAGAGCTCAAATGTCATGACTCATATGACACATGCTAGATTTATATATATATATATATTACACAAAAAGAAGTGATCATCTTGCACCTTTTAATTTCTCATTTCCCACCTTACACATGTGCCATCATGACCCAAAAAATTTACATTTTTTGAAATTGCATCACCGTGGAGGAATTACAATGAGTAGGGTTTGAACCTCTAACCCAGATTTATACTCACAAGGATAAGGTAGGCAAATAACTTTTATTATCCCTTACTTTATAAATAAGGATCAGAAAAAATTAGTACATCCTAACAACTTATTAGAAATGATAATAATAATTAAAATATTTATTAAAAATAATTAAATAATTTTATAGACATCTTATATTTAAAATATCAAAATATTTTAATTATATAGATAGTAAAAATTTATTTACACATAAATTTTATATATCACATTTATACAAAATTTTAACAATTTATTTTTTTATTTTTGATGATTGAGATTTATTAACATTTATTAAAAAATTATAATAAATCTCAATAATTAAAAAAATAAATAATTAAAATTTTATATTAATACAATATATAAAATTTATATATAAATAAATCTTTTTCCATATACATATGTATGTATGTATGTATATATATATATATCTTCTAGACTACAATTATGTCAATTTTTTGTTGAGGAATTGAACCTTTCGTTTGTTTTTTTT